CTTCATGGGATATAGATATTGTCTTGTAATACAGTTCTATCTTTATTACACTACAATAGTGAGCCAAAACTATGTGAAGTGGGCCAAACCATATGCACAGAGAGTATAGTATTTATGTAAATATTAGTATAGTATATTTTGGGCATAGTATTCCAAAACAACAGAAAGAAAGTGACAATAGCCATAATAATAATAATAATAATCACAACAAGAATAGTTATAATAACAACAGAAAATTATGATAACAAATAACCTAACAATATAGCGACACATGCAAATGCAATTTTGTTAGAGTTTTGTAAAATTTATATTGCATATATGTATATAAATTTTGTAGTTTGTACACTGTGTATTAGTTGTGATTGTTTAGAGGAAGGTCACCAGCAATGGGATGTTAAGTTGGACCCACTGAAGTTATATGACAGGGAAAACTGGATACCAATTTGTTTTGAGAATTTAGCTGTAGCTCATGTTGCATGTCGACAACAAGGATTCACTAATGCTTCTGGGCTATTCAAGCAATTGTAAGTTACGTTACAATTTAATTCTAACTATATTGTTCTTTTAGTACAATAAGATTCGGTGAGGTATATGTAGTTACTTGCCCAACAGTTTCAAATTACTTTTTGTATGGTGAAACCAACATTATGCGCTGTAACATCTCACATCAAGTTGCATCTAATTGTACAACTGCATCAGTTAACTGTAGTAGTAAGTTTTTTTATGAGAGTGAGTGATTTTACATGTATGCATACCTACTCTAATGCTGCATAGTGATACGTTATTGAAATTTTAACATACATACATGTAATAATGAGAATGTGCTATGACTGATGCACCTATTTGTAATAATGTTAAATGTTGCATTACTGTAACAGTTATCTGTTCTTCTGTAGATAAAGATATGCACAAAACTAATCCTTATAATGGTCAATTACATCTTATTGATAAGAAAAAGACTGCCACACCAGCTGATGGTACAGTTGAAGTTTATCTTCATAATGGCTGGTATCAAGTGTGTAACAATACAGCCTTCACTGATACAGTGGCTGATTCAATATGTAGACAATATGGATACACAGGACATGATACTCGGGATGAAGTAGATCCTGGGTAAGTTCTATAATATGACTCGCTTGACTCATTTTTAATAGTAATTCAAAGAGTGTTATAATCACAGAATACACTTGTACTAGTGAAACTGGTTCTTTTGAATGTTTTACCCACTGTATACCAAAGAAGTATAAGATTAATGATAGCTGTCAAGATCATGTGACATTAACATGTAGTAAGTGAATTTTAAATTCGTGTAACTATAAATGTATGTGATTTCTAAACATTTGTGCTACTTATAATGAGTGTACAATGAAAAAAATTATTTTGACGGTTTGATAGCAATTTTCCAATCATTATAGGAATAATTTTCTTCTTTAATGTACCAACAAAATTCTAACTAGAAATCTTGTATTTTGCATGCCAGAAAAATAACATGTACATGCATGTGCTGACAAGAGAAGCCATTGCTAAGCTAAAAATAATTATTGGCCTCGCCCAGCTTTTTATAGGTGAGGACTAAGTACTTGGTTTTTTCAGTATATATATTAGGCAAAATTTTTAACTGAAAACCTAGTACAGTAAGTAGGCCCACCATGCTTTTTTGCTGACAAAACTAATTTTTTAGATGTTTGATACCAAAAGTTTTAGCCAATTTTGTCACAAATTCTAGAGCTATAGTATTCTATGTAAAATTTTACTTTTTATGCAATAAAAATTAATGGTTGATTTGATAATGCATATTGACTTTGCTGTAAATATCAGTACTCATTATGGCTATAAAAGGAGTGTTAAAATTTTAAAATATTTTGATGATTGGTGGTTTTTAATTTTGGTGGAGTTTAATTTGTGGCCTTGTGCCATTATGCATGTGCATAACAGTTCATTGAAATCAGTGTTTTTTTAAATTTTTTATTGATCCTGACACTAAAATTTCCCCCTCAGCTATTAATCTATTAAGTACATTTATGTAGAGTTTGATATTACTAAGAAGTATATAACAAGTGGATCTCGGAGTCAATGTGCTTTGGATGAAGGCAGTCATTTACTTCAAGCTTGTAAAAACAAAAGAAAATTGTTGTCAATTTGTTTATCATATTAATGTAATTCTATTTTTGTAGACAAAATTATTACAGGACTACTCGCTGGTTTTCTGCTTTTTATCCTAGCATTATTTATCATCACGTTTCTATTTTGTGATATAAAGACTAAAAAGATGAAATGCTGTTGCTGCTGGAGGAAACATGACGTTCTTAATTATGCTCATATCAAATACAGAGTAAATGACCCTAGAAATGATTAACTCCAATAAATGCCTACCAAGTACAAAAGAACATTAATAGCAAAACATTATCGGTTATAACACATTACTTCAGTGTTAATAACACATTGCTTCAGTGTTAATTTATATACAGATCTATATTATTTTATACTTTGTGTCATCAGTACAGTAGGTAGGTTATAGAATTTTTTGGATTTAAAAAGATTATTATTACAAATTATGACGTCATGCGATAGGCTAGCTAACTAGCTCTAGGCGGGGACTGTTCAGCTGATCTAGTGATCTCGAGAATGGTAAATAAGAGGAAGGGAGCTGATTCTAAGAAGCCCAAGGCAGAAAGCAAACCAGGAAAGATACGAAAAAGTACTTAAGAGTGTACACTGCGATGTATAGTTTTGATTATTAATAGATAAACCTACTAAAACTAATAAGGAAAGACTACTTACTGCTTTATGTCTCACAAAACATGTCAACG